GAGCACGTGAGGAACAGGCTATTCTTGGCCTGTTCCGCATCCCTGCTTACGTGCCTGAGTCTTAGGGGCAGGTCGAAACAATGAGGGCCTGAAAATGGCCCTCCGTTTCAGGCTGGAAAACCTCTGGGGGAAAGACCCAGAAATAGGCTGAAACAGAGTAGGGCCTGCAGGCCCTCGTTTTTCAGCTTTCTGGCTGAAACGACCGGGGCCTGTAAGCCCTAAGTTTTAGGCTTTTAGGCTGAATGTCCGGGACGGGCCCTGCAGGGCCCGTGTGGCTACGTAGTATGCCACACCCCCCCCTCCTTGAACAACCGAGCTTACCTGCGAGGGCGAAGCTGTTTGTCTGAGGGAGGGACCACAGTCCGGGTGGGAGGGGCTGGTCGTGAAGCTTCTTGAGCTAACCCCCGCTTTTCGTAATGCGCGTAGATCAGTGGTGTGGATGCTTTCAGATCTGCGCCTGAAATCCACCGAGTGTCGTCGCGATCGCATGCTTTGAATGTGACTTTRTACTGCCGCGGCTTGCTGCCGTACTTGCGATCGGAGATGCCGCGGTCAACTTCCTGATGACCATCCATAGAGGGAGGGTCCTGCGAATGTCGGCCCGGAAAGTCGTCGCTCTTGGCTGGCGTGTATGTTGCCAGCTTCGAGGCGTGGAAGACCGGATTGACCATCAGATGCTCTAGAATGTTGATCACAAATGAAGGGCCATCGGGCTCATTGCCTGCGGCTGCTGTCACAGACCAAGGTCCAAACCACTTGGGAAGCAGTTTGCGTGAAACATCCTGTTCTAGTGCAAACTCTTCCGTGGAGACCCAAACCAGATCACCGGCGCGGATGGGACATGGTACGCGACGCCTGTTGGCTTGCTGCTGCATGCGGACTTGAACCTTTTGCATATTTGCGCGGGCTTGAGTCAGCAATTCCCTGTACTTCCGGACGGAAGCGGGAGAGCAGGCAGCGTCAATGTCGGCTGGTCGAGGGAGGAGAAGGTCGGCGAAGATACAGCCTTTCCGTCCACCGTGGTGCAACTCGAATGGAGTTACGCCGATCGCCGGACGCACCGAAATGTTGTCGGCGAACTCGATGTCGGGGAGGTGGTCAACCCAATCTTTCTGGTCCGGACGGATGAGCATATGAAGCATCATTTGAGCGTTTTGATGTGCCCGCTCTGTCTGCCCGTCTGTCTGGGGATGTCGAGCCGAACTTGGTTTCATTGTTGTGTCGGACTCCTGCATGAGAGCAGTCCACAACGCCGACATGAAACGAGTGTCGCGGTCGCTGACAATGTCTTCTGGTACACCGTGGCCACCAATCCAACCAGTGTGCAGGAGGCGTGCTAGCTCGGGAGCCGTGGAGTAGTACTTGCAAGGAAGAAAACGCGCATACTTACTCAATCGGTCCACAACCGTGAGGATGCCGTCGTGCCCGAGACGGTCGCGAGGGAATGGACCGGTGAGGTCCATGGCAATGGAGAGACCGGGTTCCCGTGGGATAGGCATCGGGTGTAACTCGCCATAAGGATTGCGGTTGAGGGGTTTGCTGCGTCGGCAAACTTCGCACGAGTCGCAATACCGAGTGACATCGATAATAAGGTCAGGCCATCGGAATCGCTGTTGAAGCCGTGCAATAGTGCGGTTGACTCCAAAATGGCTGGCGAGTCATGAATCATGATACTCGCCGAGGAGGCGAGTCCGAAGACGACGGTCGCGTGGGACACATAGTAAGTCCTTGCCTCTCGAGTAGAGGAGCAAGGACCCGTCAGCAATGCGGTAATGGCTGGCCGGCGGGTCATCCGAAGATAGCTGTGCATAGAGCGTGCCGAAGTCCGGATCAGACTGATATGCCCGGATGAAATGTCGTTGAAGCTTCTCGTCGAATGTGAAGGCATGATGTGTCATAGCGCAAAGATCAGGTCTTCGCGAGAGTGCATCTGTTGCGCGATTGGAGAGGCCGGGGACATGTTTCAGTGTGAAGTCAAATTGGTCGATGAAGTACATCCATCGCCCGATCGTGCTGCTCACCGTGTCCTGCGTCTTGTAGTAGGTCAATGGATTGTTGTCTGTGACCCATGTGAACCTACGACGCCCAAGGAGGAAGTGCCGCCAGCGCTTGAGAGCCATCACGAATGCGAGCAGCTCCTTCTTCCTTGCATCATCAAGCGAGTTGATGTGAGGCACTTTGTGGCTGAAATACTCCACAGGGTGCCAGTCGTCGTCGTTGTGCGACTGCCCCAATGCCATAGCCGGAAGCGTCCGTAGTCACTCGCGTCAGCACGGTGGGGTCATAGATGCTAAGGATGGGTGCCATGAGCATAACCGTCTTAAGTGCTTGGAATGACCGGCGTGCGTCGTCATCGAATACAAATGGCACCTTTGGCGACTGTAACCTCGTCACAGGTGCAGCAATCCTGGAGTATCCGGTGATGAATCGCTGATAGTAGCCCGCCAACCCCATGAATGAACGAACGTTCGTGGTGTTGGTGGGCTCGGGCCATACTCGTAGGGCCTCGATCTTGTCCGCAAGCGGATGGATGCCTTGCGGCGTCACATAGTGTCCCAAGTACTCCARCTCCTGCTGTGTGAACTCGCACTTGTCGCGGTTTGCTTTGTACTTGGCTTGTCGTAGCCGCTCCAAAACGGTGCGCAGATGTTCCACATGCTCGTCCAGACTCCGGCTGTAGACCAGAATGTCGTCGAGGTAGATAAGTACGAAACGATCCAGCATGTGTCAGAACTCCGTTCTCATAGCCGCTTGGAAAGTGGTTGGGCCATTCGTAAGGCCAAACGACATGACCAGCCATTCGAAATGCCCATACCGTGTCTTGAACACGGTCTTGTAGCGATCCTCATTGCGAATCTCGAGTTGGTGGTACCCTGACTTGAGATCCAGCTTAGAGAAGAACTGGGCGCCGCCCAATCGCTCGAGAAGGTCATGGATGCGTGGGAGAGGTTCGGCGTTCCTGATCGTCTACACGTTGAGCTTGCGATAATCGATGCACAACTGCAAGTCCTTGTTCTTCTTCCGGACGAAGAGAACAGGAGCACCGTATGGCGATGAGCTAGGCCGAATCCAACCTTTCTCCAGAAGGTCGTCGAGTTGTGCCCGAAGCACACTTAATTCTTCCTCGCTCATTCGGTAGATGCAACCGCACGGAGGTACGGCCCCGTCCTCGAGGATGCTCTCGTGGCGGATGGGTCGATCCGGTACTACCCCGTGCGGGCCTTCGAATACGCCGCTGTAGGTGTCGAGAAGTTCGGTGATGCGTGGATCCGAAGGTGAGTCCGTCGATGAAGCGTCATGTGGCGGGAGGGCATGGAGAAAACACACCCCCATCTCCTCGATGTCGTCTCTGATGATGGAAGCTCGCATGCTTGCGGCAGATACCACGTGGCAGTTGATCGAAGGATGAGGAATAGGCACCGTGCACGGTACTAATACTCCGTTCCGATCACGAACGTGAACGGTGCGGTTGAAGAAGTTCACCGGGTGATCCTCGCTTCGCAGCCATGACATGCCCAAGATCAT